GTGCACGGCGACTGCGAGCAGAGAGGAGAGAGAGAGCAGTATCGGAGGGACTTGTTTAGTCTTCACCGGCTAGGGAATGCGGTGACGAGAAGAGAGATCGAGAGTTACCAGTGGGGGGGAATGTACGGACGGACGACTAAGGCTTGTGAGATTATAAAAAATTAAATTAAATTTTTATCTTTTAATAGTTGGAAAGTATGAGGAAAACTTAAGAAATTAAAATTTATTTATTTTATTATTTTTTAATTGCCACGTCACACATTTAACGATCAACTTTTAGAGTTGACTACCACATAAGTAAAATTTAACGGAGTTGGACGGAGAGTGACCAAACGTGAACGGTTTCAATAAACTGAAGTACCACCATTGGATTTAAATATTTCGAGTGACCAAACTTGAACGTTTTTTATAATCTCAGTGACCAATCATGCAATTAACCCAAAATTTAATTGGTATGCAAGGGATCTAGAACGGATGAAGGGCAGAGAGCAAACGTGGCCACATCTGACGCGTGGGTGTACCATATAATAATAATAAAAAAAACATGGTAGTGCATAATAGCAAAACTCTTACGAAACAGTAACTTCCTTATATCTTAAATTATTTAGGATATACGTATCACTTAATCAAACATAGCACCTAGATAGATCAGTTCGTATTAAATTGAGCTTAATGATTAGTAACAAAACAAAAAAGGGGTAGGTAAGGTTGCTTTTCATTAAAATTGTTCCCAGAATTGGTTCTGGTTGAGAAGCTGCGAATCTGTGACTTTATGAAATGAGATAGAAGATGAGATGAGGTATGGTGGATACAGACATTTTAAATAGCGGTGTTCTCTTTTAAACAATAAAGGAAAATAAAAATTAATTAAATAATTAAATCTTAAATAAGAAAATACCCAACTCGTACAAGTTAAAAAAAGTCCATGATGTATTTTCATATTCTAAATATTTTGTAAAATACACTTGGTGTCTACACTGCTCAACAAATTTGTCTCGACCTATCCTACTAAACAATCATTCACGAACTAATGGGCCGAGAGCATATTCCAGAGTCCGTGACGTCAAACCATGCGAGTAGTGAGGCCCATGCAGACTCGCTGCCCACGTCGAGTCCGTTTCCTACTTGTACTCGACGTACTTTGTTCCCAACCCTAGAGAACTTAGATGAAAAGGGTTGTATAAATATGTGTAAGGCTGGTTGCAGCCGTATCATCAATCAATAAGAAAATAAACTATTCCCGTGGATGTAAGCCTCACACAACGCGAGGAAGAACCACGTAAAATCCTCGTCTCTTGTTTGATTCAATTTTACATGGTATCAGAGCTCTAAGCTCCAGTTTTTCTCTTTCGTCCACCACGTCCGATCATGAGTAAGGAACAAGACCCTCAGCTCGGCGGTGGCTCTGTCAAACTCGAAGAGGCTCTCCCTTCGGTTTATCAATTGTCAAACTCGGATGGTCCGGGAAATATGCTGGTTGGCGATTTCCTCACGTCAACCAACTATGGTGAGTGGGCTCTCGACATGAAGGACGCACTCATCGCGAAAAATAAGTACGGGTTTGTTGATGGAACTCTCCCCAAACTCGATACTCCTCTAGAGCGGAACGCTTGGATTCGCTGCGACGCCATGGTGAAAGGATGGTTAAAAACCTCCATGGATAAGGAAATTCGGAGTAGTATCCGATTTGCTGAGCACGCAAGTGAGATTTGGACGGATCTTCTTCAGCGATTTGGCCAAGGCAGTGCATCTCGAGCATATGAGTTGCGCCGGATGATCAGTTTGTTGCAGCAAGAAAAACAGACTGTATCGAACTTTTATACACATCTCCGCAGCCTTTGGGAAGAAGCATCCGCCATAACACCCTTGCCGCGTTGTACCTGTGGCAACTGCACATGCGACGTCACTCGGCAGGTGAGGGAGCAGCAAGAAAGCGCGAGACTATTTGACTTTCTTATGGGTCTCGATGGGTCTTTTGGAGCAGTGCGCACCCAAATCTTGGCGACCAAGCCTACGCCATTGCTAGCTGAAGCCTTTCACATGGTGCTTAATGAGGAACAACAGAAGAATATCTCCCAGAACCGCAAAGTTCAGCCCGAAGCGGCTGCCTTCATTGCCAAGGGAGACACTGAAAAGAGCGATCGAGGTGGCGATCGAAGTACGGGGGAGCAGCGACCAAAAATTCGTTGTACCCACTGCAGACGCACAGGCCATCTTCGCGAATCCTGCTACCAGCTCGTTGGCTACCCTCAGCGAGATCAGCAGGGCGAGCGGCCTTCACAGCGTCGCAATCCAAAGCAGCCTGATGGTTCAGGTCGGGAAGGAAATCGCGAACCGAAGGCAACTCAGGTTGAGTCCGAGCAGAGCCCTGTCGCCGGTTTTACTATGGCCCAATTGGAGCAGCTGAAGCAGTTCTTTGGAGCAACCAGTCGAGCAAATGAAGTCCCGGCAGCTCACATGGCAGGTATAGTTTCTTACGAATCTGAATGGTTATTAGATTCTGGTTGCAACGAGCATATTACCATGGATGAATCGTTATTGTCACACAAAGAAATCCCTATAAACGGTCCACCAGTTCGCATACCCAATGGTGATAGTATACCGGTGAAGCATATTGGGTCAGTTGAGCTGCGACCTGGATTCACCTTGGGCCGTGTATTACTATTTGCGCTTGTTTGGACAGGGTCGGTCACAGGTTTGCGCAGTGCAGCAACGGAATTCGGTGTCAGCAGTCATTTGGCATGCCCGCCTTGGGCATCCCTCCCCAGATAAACTTTTGCATATTAGTCGGATACTATCTTTTAGTTCAACTTCGGATATTGGCCCTTGTCACTCCTGTTTTCGGGCAAAGCAAACTCGTGAGCCATTTTTGTCCAGTATGATTAAGACTACTTCTATTTTTGACCTCATACACATCGACATATGGGGTGGCTATAAGACTGCATCGTTAAGTGGTGCACATTATTTCTTAACCATTGTGGATGATTTCTCTCGGGGCGTTTGGATTTATCTTTTACGTTACAAATCTGAAGTTGAGCGTTATTTACTACATTTTTGTAACATGGTCAAGAATCAGTTTGGCCGATCAGTCAAACGGATCCAAGCTGGCAATGGGCATGAGTTTCATACTGCAGGTCTCAAGACATATTATGCAGAGCACGACATTCTTCTTCAAACCTCGTGCACTGACACGCCACAGCAAAATGGCGTGGTTGAGAGAAAGCATCGCCATATATTGGACACAGCTCGGGCCTTGCGATTCCAAGCTAGCCTCCCAATCCGGTTTTGGGGTGAGTGCATTCTCACCGCCGTTTATCTCATAAATCGACTTCCGACGAAAGCAACAGGCAAGACACCCTTCGAGGTTCTTTTCGGGAAGCAAGCAACCTATCATCACCTTCGAGTCTTCGGCTGTTTGGTCTACTTCAAGGACACTCACTCACACCTTGATAAGTTCGCCGAAAGAGGCCGAGCAGGTTTATTTTTAGGCTATGCTGCCAGTCAAAAGGGATATCGTATTTATGATCTAGTATCTCGTCGTCTAATTACTTCTCGTGATGTTCAATTTCATGAGACTTTATTCCCCATGCAAGCTGAAGTGAGCCGCGACCTTCATTGGATCCCTCGACCAGCTGTCTCGCCCTCACCGACTGCAGCGGATGATTCACCGCTTTATTCCTCGCCCCAAGCAGAGGGCCAGGTCAGCGAGCCCGCAACAGAGGCCCACACCAGCGAGCCCACCAGCCCGGCCTCGCCCCACGGCCTGTCAGGCCCGGGTTCTTCCCCTAGTTCGGTCGTGCCCACTGCTGGGGTGTCTTCTCCTGGGCCGGTTCCTGGCCCGTCTACTCCATCTGAAGCCATTCTCCCTGAGCCCGCTCCAGCCGTCCCTGACACACGGAAGAGTGACCGCCAGCGGTTTCGGCCCAAACACTTGGAGAATTACATCACCGAATTTCACACTGATACATCATAGGGAAGCACCATTAATTCTGCTATGTACCCCCTTGCTGCATACGTTGATTATTCTAAGTTTAAACCTGTTTTTCGTGCCTTTCTTGCAGCACAAACTCGCTATGATGAACCACGCTTCTTCCACGAGGCGGTCCGAGAAAAGGTCTGGCGTGACGCCATGACACGCGAAGTTCGTGCACTGGAGGCTAAAGGGACATGGACCCTAGTGTTTTTGCCTCCTGGAAAGCGCACTATAGCAGCTAAATGGGTGTACAAGATTAAGTATTATCCGGATGGTACAATTGAACACTTTAAGGCCAGGCTCGTCGCCAAGGGATATACTCAGATTGAAGGCTTGGACTTCCATGATACCTTTGCACCAGTTGCCAAACTAGTGACCATTCGTTGTCTTCTTGCTGTAGCTGTCAATAAAGGGTGGCACATTCATCAGCTTGACGTTAACAACGCATTCCTTCATGGTGATATGGATGAAGAGATATACATGGAAATACCCCCTGGTTTTCGCAAGCCTGGTGACACACGAGTTTGTCGGTTGCGTAAATCACTATATGGTCTTCGCCAAGCATCTCGCCAGTGGTACCAGAAGTTCACTACTGCCTTGTGTGAATTTGGCTTTCAACCTTCCCCGGCAGATGCGGCTCTGTTTATCTACCAACGGGGGAGTACCTTCGTGACGGCCTTGATTTATGTCGACAACGTTATCCTAGCCGGCAACGACTTACCCTTCATTTCTCGTGTGAAGACTTTCCTTGATCACCGTTTCAGCATCAAGGATCTTGGTTCGTTGCGGTATTTCCTAGGCATTTAAGTTGCTCGCACTGCCGATGGAATTGTTCTCAACCAGAGGAAGTTTGCTCTGGATATTCTTGAAGATGCTGGGCTCGAAGGATCACGACCCAGCTCATTTCCCATTGAACAGAATCACAAGCTCACGCGACCGGATAGTAATGTCCTGTCCGATCCTTCTCCATATCGGCGATTAGTTGGCTGCTTGCTCTACTTAACCGTTACTCGCCCCGACATCACTTATGCTGTCAATATTCTCAGCCAGTTCGTTCATGCTCCTTGTCAGTCGCATCTTGATGCAGCTTTTCGTATCCTCAGATATTTGAAGTCATCTCCGGGACAAGGTCTGTTTTTCCCGAAGGACAATTCTCTTCGCCTCGCAGCATACTGTGATGCGGATTGGGGTGGCTGTTAGCGTACCCGCCGCTCCACTACTGGCTACGTTATCAGCTTGGGTACTGCACCCATTTCATGGCGTACGAAGAAGCAAAATGTCGTTACCCGCTCTTCCGCTGAAGCTGAATACCGCGCCATGGCCAGCACAGTTAGTGAAATACTCTGGCTCCGTTGGTTGCTCCAGGAGCTTGGTGTTCCGCAAACCTCCCCAACAGTGTTGCATTGTGACAACCATGCAGCACTCCACATAGCCAACAATCCAGTCTTCCATGAACGAACTAAGCACGTTGAGATGTATTGTTACTTTGTTCGCGAGCGGGTGCAGTCAGGCCACATTTCTCCGGTCAAGGTACATACTGATCTGCAGCTTGCGGATATGTTCACCAAAGGGCTTGGGAGTGATCGTTTTCATTTTCTTCTCTCCAAACTGAACGTTCGAGATCTTCACGCTCCAGTTTGCGGGGGAGTAATGGGCCGAGAGCATATTCCAGAGTCCGTGACGTCAAACCATGCGAGTCGTGAGGCCTATGCAGACTCGCTGCCCACGTCGAGTCCGTTTCCTACTTGTACTCGACGTACTTTGTTCCCAACCCTAGAGAACTTAGATGAAAAGGGTTGTATAAATATGTGTAAGGCTGGTTGCAGCCGTATCATCAATCAATAAGAAAAGAAACTATTCCCGTGGATGTAAGCCTCACACAACGTGAGGAAGAACCACGTAAAATCCTCGTCTCTTGTTTGATTCAATTTTACACGAACTGACACATATTCGACTTCTAAATTTGTTCTTGACAACTCAGCTGAAAAGACACTTTCAACACTTGTCGCACTACCATAAAATCAATACAAATTAAGGGCAACTTGTTTAAAATAGAATAACAAAAGTTGTAGCTTAATGGAAATTATATATTTATTAATAACAGTGGTGTCTGTAGTTTGAATTACCCAAACTACCACTTATATTCCCATACGCAAATTACAAACGAGAGTAGGATAATCGTGTTTTAAAATTTCAAGGTGTCCCGAACTATTAATTATATTTTTTTCCATATGTAAATTACCATCAGGAGTTGGATAATCGTTTTTCCAAAACTTAGAGGTTTTCCGGGACACTCCAAAGGCCCATGGGTACGCCAGGAAGCAAATACTGGTTTATTCGGATCACTATAATTCATCAGAACCCTTTTTTTTTTTTTTTACAACTAATTCATCAGAACCCGCTTTACAAAATTTGGTGCGTTTCTCTGTAGACTAATGGTTTGGTGGTAATTAACGGGGAAAGACAGAAGACCGTTGTAACAGATTGAGATTGGAATATGGACAATCAAAGAAAGTAAAAAAAATATTTTCATTAATACAATATGCATTAGGATATTAGCTAATACAAAAAAGAAAAAATTAGTTAACAAATTAAAGAAAAACAAAATTAATGACAAGCCCCAATCCCAACAATCTTTCTTGGGATTTGGTTGGGGAAAGGAAAAAATATTTTGTTTGTTTTTTACAGGAGAAATTAAATTGCATTAACATTCTAGTAAGGAGAAATGGAGAGAGGAGTCATATCTGGATTAGGAGAGATTCCCACGTTATTACTGCCATTTGGCCATAAAAGAAAAGTCCAACGTTTCAAAAAATGACAAAAATCATGAAGATGAACTTGACATGAACTAGACCCAGACTTCTTGTCAAATAGAAGGAGCCAACCATATTGAACAGGACCATAAGGCACCTAATTAGCATTTATAAACATATAGATTATAAATATGAACTACAGCAGACAGGTTCATGTGGGCTTAATTAGTTAAAAACCACAGCCATCCATTATTGGTATCTAATTAATACCACTTATCAGTATCTGATTACCATATAGGAGAAAAAAGAAAAAGAAGAATTGGAAAGAGAGAGGGAGAGAGAGAGAGAGAGAAGCATACCTATCTCGGCAACAATGGAGGAGGATTTTTGTTCTAGGGTTACTGCATGGGAGATGGATTGATGAATAGTGTTTTTCTTGGTCTTGAGTGGCATGACCACCTTTAACAGGTGAAGCTGCCATATGATCTGGTCTCTCCTTGTTTATATTAGATTAGACACCTTTTTAAGGAGAAGTCAGATCATGCTGGCAGCTTCAACTGCAACTGGTGCATGATTAGGCTTAACAATGGAATTCTACTGGAGCTGATGCGATCGATGATGCCATACCTATACTATATATACAATACAATGAAGGGGAGAGACACGAAGAAGAGGGTTCTTGGCTCTGGTTTTGATAGATAAGGGAAGAATATATGGGAGACGAAATGGGAATAGAGTGAGTGAGTATATTGATATAGAGAAGAGATGAGAAGAGAAGGACGACTGACTCCTTGTTGTATGTTTTCTTTTCTTCTTTTCGTATTTTCATTTAGATATCTCTTTTCTGGTTTTCTCTTATTTATGAGAACCTCATCATGTTGTCTTATAGGACAAGGGATGTCACATAAGACAAGTATGAAAGAGTCCACTGGAATAAATACGCAGTTGCAGTTGGGTTGGGCCTGCTTTTCTTTTCTTTTCTTTACAATTAATTACTTTGTCGTTTGGGAACTCAAAATTTTCCAAGTGCATTCTCTATTAATTGTAGCCAACCGAAAAAGATTAGGGTTATGTGCTGTTAATTTGTCATTTTCCGACTTTTTATTGTGAGGTCGTTTGGATTAGTGTTTTCAATAAGGGATTTGGGCACACTTCCTCACAGTGAGGGATTTTAATTAAAATCACTTGTTTGCGAACCATTTTTTCGATTAGAGATTTTAAACATTACGAATTTCAGAAACCCACATTTGTGGAATTGTGAAATAGCTGATGTCCACTAGATATTCTGAAATCACTCAATATTTTGTCATTTTATTCCATATGTCCATGCTATTTTTCTGAAAATCCAACTCTACCCTTCTATTAACCCTCCCACTTTGTTTCTTCCTTCTCTCCTCTCCACTTCTCCACCCACCGCCGCTGGCAAGTTGAAGGGTGCAGCCTAGATTTGAGCGATGCCAAGCATTACTACTCCTGGCATGAATTCTGCGGGACTCACTTCAAGACCCCTACCGTCATTGTTGTTGGCTTGGAGCAGAGGTTTTGAGAGCAGTGTAACAGGTTGCCATTTTCACTCTTCTCGGCCTCCCTTGTTATGTCGATTTTGTGGCCCACAGAGGAACGTCGGCTGACGATTTGTGCGGCAGAGAGTTAGGGGAGGAACTGCGGACGACAATTGTGGCCCCGCAGAGGAACGCCGCCTGACGATTCGGCGGCAGAGTTTGGGGAGGAACTGCGGAGAAGACGAACTCGGGAAAGAGGAAGAAAGGGATGTTCGTCCTTTCTCTTACCGCGTACAGATAAGGAGAAAATTATTATTTCCTATTTTTAGTTTAAAATTAAATATATTAGTTGCCAAACGAGTGATTTGGCGAAAATTTCACACAAATATTTCGAATTAAAACCCTGGGTTTTAAAATGAGTTATTTCATCACAAATCTCTCGCAAATCACTCGAATTGAAAACACTAATCCAAACGATCCCGTGGTGTTTTCAAGAAACCTTTAGTGTTGTAGCTGTATGGATTCAGCTTGAGTTAATATTTTGTTAATAATTTTTAATTTACTTAATAAATTCCAAAGCGAAATTGTTTTTATGATCGTAAGGTCCTCTCCATAGACTACAATGTAGTTGTAAATATTTCTTTACTAACACTTATAGTAAATTAAAACATAATTAATGTAATAAATAAATATATTAAGAAACATGGACAAGGAAGTGGTCCTAATTAACTAAAGCCCAAAAATAAAGGAAGGGGAGTATTGAATATTGTCACGCCCACGCCATATCACATGCAGAAGGGATTTGTTGTTTATGGCATGATGTAAAAAACCATTTCATTCTTCTTTTTCTTATCTTTATTATTTGAATTTATTATATTATTGGCGAACCAACCAACCAACTATATTATTATTTGGCTTCAAATTAAAACACTGTTAAAAGAAAAAAAAGGACTTTCGAATAGATTAGTTAATAAAAAAGCTATAGTTGGTTGGTTGCGGGTTGGGTTTGGATGAGTTGGGATGGATGAGCCTTTCAATATGGCTGTATCCTTGGGGTGTTCCGTGGTTATCGTGATAACCGTTTTAATTGGTAGTATTTGGATAATTTGGTTTGGTTAATTTTGATAATTGGTTTGGTTTGGTTAAATTTTTAGCATGTTTGGTTTAGGTGTTTTGATTTGGTTTCAGACACTCATAACCAATGAAACCAAATCAACCACTAAAGTAATTAGCTATTGTTTCAGCCAAGAAACAAGTAGAACTCCAAATATGTGAAAGGGCGGGGATGACCCCCTGCATCTACACTCCAACGATCAACATTAGTATGGTGATGGAGAAATAGGAAGAGTTCATGTAGAGAGAGATATTGTGGAGAGATAAGAAATATGTGAAAATGAGTAGAGAAGAAGAGACCCTTACTTGGAAGACCTAAGAGTATATTTAAGCCTTGTCACTTTGCATTGGGCTTCCATTGAGTCTTTGTGGTATTTTGTGGGCTTTGGCTCATACGTGCTTGTGGATTACCATTGTTGTTCGAGTTGGGCCATGTCATATTTACGGGTCCAACAATTGTCCCCCAGTTAGGTATCCAGTAGTATACTGGATGCCTAACTAAAAGCCTTTATCTTGTCACATCTTTTGTATTTTGCTTCTGGCGTTTGACGTGTATGTGCCCCTTGTCCCCCGGCTAGCTTATCCATGTCCCCCATGATCATAATAGCTTAAGAACTCGGAGCAAGAACCATGTAGAGAAAGAACAAGGTACCATGATGTGACTCATAACATGGTTAACAATATAACTCAAGCAATGGCAAAAGAAACTACTTATTACACATCTTATTTCTAACAAGACTATG